TTTCCCCCCCCCCCCCCGGTGACCTCTCACCAGAAATATCAACGTTAAATGACAGAATTACCCCTCACCAAATCATTGAATTACTTCCCACTTCGTGAAGAACTTCCAAGAAAAAAATGGAATTGTTGATATGTGTGCCACGGTGATCAAACAAGGATGGTCAAAAGGGCCCGTTCCAAACCGAGCTCTAACCACGTGTCTTGACTTGATTGGATGGACTACTTCTGGTCCACGTGGAGGGGGCATTTTGGGAAATTCACATGATTGTTCGTATGGACAAATAAAGGTCAAAATTTTGTTTGCAAAATGGGACTTTTCTGAGCAGTAATTTAATTTCATCCACTGACGTCGCTACTCATAGCATTATGAATATATGGGCTCCCAGATGGAACAGAGAAGAAAGAAGAAAGAAGAAGAAACAAGGCTCTTACGGCCATTTTCCCACTTTGATCATCACAAGATTCACATTCATTTCAGAAAGCTTCAAAAACATTGGATATTGAAGGTTTAGCTTCTTCTTCTTCTCTTTGTTCATGGGCTAACATGATTCTATTGCTTTAGAGTATCTTCTTTGCTGTGTTATAGCCCACCATGTACTGTTCTTAATGTTCTAGAGATCATTGAGTTCATAACTTGTGACCCAAATAGAACATTTGGGGGTTTTGATTCTAAAACTGGCTCCCAGGTTCATTGTTTTAGTGGTTTTATGCAGTGCTGATTAGAAAGGTAAGAATGTCCTCCTTAATGCATGGATCACTGCTGCAAACTATAGCAGATTGTGATCAAGGATTGTTGAGGAGGGGAAAGTACCATTTGGGTCACACCCATCTTCTCAAAGAAAAACATTCATCTTTGAGGGGAAACAGGGGTGGTAGTAGAAGTAAAGGTATTTGCTGCCAAGATTTGCATATCAGTAGTCCAAAGCCAGAGAGACATGAGCCTCCTAATCGTCACGGTTCGAGAGCCGATGCCGTTCTTAGCCCCGTAATACCTACTACCAAAAAGGTTGCTATGCTATACATGCCCTTGTAATACTTGGCTTGTAAGATTCATGTTCTTCTTAGAATGTGCAATTTAGCTGGTTTTGATTCAATGTCTTGTTTGAACAGAGGGTATTCACTTTTGGAAAAGGGAGGAGTGAGGGTAACAAGAGCATGAAGTCCTTGGTAAGTTTTTCTTCAAGTTTTTGGATCACTTTTCCATCATAAACTGGTAAAGAAATCTTTGAAATCATGTGCTTGAGCATTTTTACAAACATTGGACTCATAGCATACTGTTGTGCTACAGTTGGGAGGGAAGGGAGCTAACCTTGCAGAGATGGCGAGCATCGGGTTGTCCGTTCCGCCTGGACTCACCATCTCAACTGAAGCATGCCAAGAGTACCAGAAAAATGGAAATAGATTGCCAGATGGCTTGTGGGAAGAGATACTGGAAGGCTTGGAAATCGTCGAAAAGGACATGGGAGCTGTTCTTGGTGATCCTTCGACGCCTCTCCTTCTCTCGGTTCGGTCGGGTGCTGCTGTAAGTGTTCTTCCTCTTTCCATCTACATTTTAGCTGTCTGTTATAAATCTCAACTACTAGACCATTGTCATTGTTCATTTCACTTGATGTAAATGGCACCACTCATGCAAAACTAACAGTGGGGACGTAGGACAGCCCACCACTAGCAAATATTGTTTCTCTTTCAGGCCTCCCCTCAAGGTTTTTAAAACACGTTTGTTAGGGAGAGGTTTTCATATCCTTGTAAAAAAATGCTTCATTCTCCTCCCCAACCGATGTGAGATCTCACAATCCACCCCCTTCGAGGCCTAGCGTCCTCGCTAGCACTCGTTCCCTTCTCCTATCGATGTGAGATCCCACATTGGTTGGAGAGAAGAATGAAGCATTCTTTATAAGGGTGTGGAAACCTCTCCCTAGCAGATGCGTTGTAAAAACTTTGAAAGGAAGCTCGAAAGTGAAAGCCCAGAGAGGATAATATCGGCTAGTGGTGGGTTTGGACTGTTACAATGATTTAACATAGTAGACCATTGACAGTGTTCTACACTCACCTCTTCTGTTGATGTCTAGATCTCAATGCCTGGAATGATGGATACTGTCCTCAACCTTGGATTAAACGATGAAGTCGTTGCTGGATTGGCTGTAAAAAGTGGAGAGCGTTTCGCATACGACTCGTATAGGCGCTTCCTAGACATGTTTGGAGATGTTGTAAGTGGTTCATCTAGTTGTTTCCAGATCTTTTCCAATAATAGGATGGTGT